ATGAACGTAGTCGTAGAAGAACGTTAAACATTTTAAAGGTTATTTTACAGAACCAGAAACCAGCGTCTCTAAAACAACGGACACTACCGCCCACCAGACTCCATTCATAAAAACACTCATTTAAGCTCACAGATCATCGTAACTTCATTCAAACTGAACAGAAACAGAATAAAACTCATTAAAACCGTCTCTGTTAGTGTTTCCAACTAAATCCTTAATTCACCAAACAAACCACAGAGAGGCTGTGATAGCAACACAGGCAGAGGGAGTGAGACTATATATCTTTAAATAGATACTACATGTTTCATGTTTAAAATCTCATATATATATATAGATATATATATATATCTATCTATAGATATATATATATATATATAGATATATATATATATTAAACTGTCAACATATATTCATTATAGTATTCTGGCCGAACTACACACTACAGACACACAAATGGATTCTTGTTGTGCAGTGTTGTGATGAATTTAGACGTGTAACCTCATGGCTCTATCAGTGGAGGTTCTGCAGGTAAAGCAGTGGGCGGTGTAATGCTAAAACTCGTAATGGAGGAGCCGTGCAGTTTCAGTGTTCACTTCTCCCGACGATGATCAGTGACCTGGTTTATTCTTTTGTCTCTCGTCTGCTCCGGTTTCAGATGTTCTCATCTCTTTTCAGCGGACGTCTTGGCTCATTGAGTTGTGACGGTGGTAGAAATCAGCGATGTTAGACTCGCCTCTGATGTACATTTTTAATCTCATCTTGACACACATTTATTATTTAGTTATAAGCTATGTACCTACAGGTTCTGTGCCTGTTCAGAGTTTTTGGTGAGGTTGTTTCAGTTTGAACAGTCAGACCTTTCAGATGGCGGAAAAGTTTTAGAAGCAGGTGGGATCTCTTGGGAAAATGAGGCTTCTGTTTTTGATGTGTTTTCATCAGCAGCAGAGAATTTACTCTCTTGATTCACACCAGGAAACAAACCACTGCACAATCTGAGTCTTTGAGTCGTCTCTTAATTCCCCCATTTTTTGCTCTAAACTACTTTGCAGAAGCTGCTTCAGGCCGCTGCAAACTGAAATATATCATAAATCTGGCAGCAGTTTGCAGGACTTCCCCCTCATCATTGCTTCATGTCCACGTCAGACTGATGTGTATTGTCAAATGCCTCAAAAGTGATACAGGACTCCGACAATTATTCATGACAGGGTCCCCGGCCTAGAAGACCATCCAGTCAAACCAGGTCACCGTTGGTCCTGGGCATGTTAATCACACAGTCTGAAGAGGCATGATGCTGTAAAAGCGTCAACAGATCATCCGTGGATAAACGGAGCGGCTCATCTGCAAACACATTAAACAGGGGACTCCTTATCCGGCTGTCAAGCTACAAACTGCTGTATAACGCTGACATGATATGACTACAAACATAAATTAAGTCTGCAGCGCCGCAAGGACTCGTCAGATAACACACGTCACAAAGCCCCAGGATGTTATGTTTTATTTAAGTGAGTCTGTACATCTTAATGATCATGAGATGAGCTCATGAGGCGGATAGATGTACTCTTCATGCAGTATTCAGTTATGGTTGTTTCCAGCCTCCACAGGGATGCGACTCAACTCAGCCTAATTCATTATTAAAGGACTCATTTATATTGAGTTGAATTTTAGTGAAACAAACTCCCCCTCACACCATTTGTACCTGCAGAGAGGAATCAGCTAAAACCTTCACTTTCACATTTATAAAGCAAAATCTGTCGGCTGCAAGGTACACTGACCTTAATCACACCTGTGTATATTAATGTGAAATTACCAGAATACACATGTTTTTGTGACACATTTAGGATCCAGAATGCAGTCTTTAAAGTCTTAACTGGAGTTGAGCGTCTTATCTGTTGTAAATCTGTTTAGAAATCATGCAAAAAAGACTCCAGAACTTGCTTGGGATCATCAAGTTTTACATTTTTCTCGAGTGTCACAGTAATCCAGTGACAGTCGTCTGTACATTAATGTGTGTATTGTGCACAGGAACTGCTAACAGATAATTCTGCATACTTCTAATGGTGCAAAATGTAAAGAAATACAATTTATAGTCAATTGAATAGTTATTAACAACATCTGACACAAATTGTAGAACTTTTCAGCGGATACATTTGATCAAAAATGAGATAAAACCACTTTGCTGACATTAATTCCAACATGTACATATAAATCCCAGTAAGAAAGGATTATTTGGCCAGATTTTAGGGGGTGCTGCAGCCCCCTCTGGACCCCTACCTCCTGCGGCCATGCCTACACTCTCCTCCATCCATTCACTCGTTCACTGTGTGTTGAAAACCTGTGGAAATATAAACAAGTCCATTTCTAGCTTTGCCCAGGAGGTGTTAGGTGTTGTTTCAGTTTTGTCTGGAGGGGACTCACAGTGTTGGACTCTGAAAACACCTTTACGCTGCAGTTACACATTTATACAGACTCAGTTTTAGCTCTGTGTGTTCGGTTTGTTGTGCATTCATCAGAAATAAAAGAGAATTTAATTGTATTTGACTCGGCCACTTGTTGGAACCTGAATGTGTAAAACACTTTAAAACTCAAGTTGGTCCGTACGCCCCAAAGGCATTGACCATTAGAGCCTTAACCGGGCCCAAATCAGACCCCACCCCGAATTTCTGCTCAAAATAAATTATTTAAGGTTTATTACAAGATTTAAAAAAAACGAAATAACAGATTCACTCATTAGTTACAGCTGAAAACATTATTGATGAAATATGAAATGTATATTAAAACAAATCTAATTCTGTCCATCATTTCCAATCTCTAAACTGTAAAACTCTAAAAAATAAAGACATAAAATGTTGAAAAAAACCCAACATAGTAACATAATCTGGATGATTAGACTCCTTTTGACCTGCACATGACCAAATAAGGTTTCTAAAGTCTCAGTTCTCTTCCAACAGTCAGTATTTTGGTTATTTGGAAGTGACACAAATGCATTCTTAAGAAAATGTTTTACAACCACGACTGGAAGCTGGTGGTTTGACAAGTCAGTAAATCTCTGTTCAATAATAAGATGCTGGTGAGTTATGTTGCTGCTGTGTGAACTGAAATGAACCAAACAGACTTTTCCTCAAACCGAGCTGTGATCTCACCCTCTGTCTGTCTGTCTGTTATCAGGTAGCGGCTCAGGCTGTGCTGTTCATGTGTATGAACACTGCTGGGATATTCATCAGTTACCTGTCCGACCGGGCTCAGCGTCAGGCCTTCCTGGAGACGCGGCGATGCATCGAAGCACGGCTGCGACTCGAGACGGAGAACCAGAGACAGGTGAGATTTCTCTATGTTTGCTGTGTGTTAATGGGAGCTGCTGCAGTATTTACACTTAAAGAATGGAGCCTGAAAGCACCTTTAGAGTGTTTATTGTACAGACTGAAAGTAGAGAGCTATTGGTTGGATTACCATGAAAGTTTGGAGGATAAATCCTACTTACTTTCTCATTGATTGCCACGAAATTCACTGCAGATGTTCAAAGTCTCTCCCGTTCGTGCTGCTGACAATGATCAATAAAGTTTTGTTTGTAAGCTCTGAAGATACAGGTTTGTTTGGTAGGAAGAGACCTGCAACACTGGCTGTTCGGGAGCAGCTGATCGGTCCTTGTTCCCTCCTCTACAGCTGACGTTTGGTCTCGACTCTAAAATTAATCGTGCGGCTCCAAATCGGGTCAGAAACAGAATAAACATTATATGTGCTTAACATCAACATCAGCACTAGCATTGGAAGCATGTAAGCTTGCACACACAGCCGCTGTTGTTGATATTACAGTTGGTTTCCTGGTTCCATGATGGATGAACTGGAGTCTTGATCTCACTAACTTGGGCTCAGACCTAAATTTGATCTCTAGCCTGAACACTTTAAGAGATATTGACCTCTAATGACCTGACATGACCTAAAGCACCTGCAGCCCAAAAACCAGCAGTGCACCAACAGAACGATGTGTTTTTACGTCCTGTTGTTCAGTGATGGATCTCAGTGTGAGCAGAGTTTGATAAAGGAAGCAAAGCGATTGATGGATTTCAGTTGACAGGACCGAACGTTAGCAGCTCGACTAATGAGCCCGCTGAGAGGAGAATAACATGGACGCTGCATCGATCCACTGCTGTCACGCAAACAGTGCACACACACACACACA